GGCGAGTTTGATTCGCTTGCTCAATGCTGTTGCTTGGAAAATCCACGACTCAAAAGAAACAACCGCGAAACTCCCTCTCTTATCCCAACAAGCATGTCTTCCGGGCGACCCTTCACCAGAGCCCTCGCCGTCTACAACAGATGGTTTCTCTTCCGCACCTTGTTATACCCCTTCTACAACCTCGCACACAGCCTCTGAGCCCGCGATCTACGTGCAGGGAATGAACGTTCTTTGTGCTCCATTTTTATACGCTTCCAGGAGTGAAGTAGAGGCGTTTGCTCTTTTTCATTATTTCATTATCCGAGAATGTCCTGGCTATGTCAGAGGTACCATGGACGGGGTACACAAGGGACTTAGGCTGGTGGATAGATGTCTGGAAATTATTGAGCCCAAACTGGCAAACCACCTATTTAGTAGGGGAATGTATGCTGAATTATATGCATTCCCGTCTGTTCTCACGCTATGCGCCTGCACCCCGCCTCTACCTGAGGTTCTCCACCTCTGGGATTTCCTTTTCGCATATGGACCGCATTTGAATATCCTGTGCATTGTTGCTCAGTTGATCAGGCTACGGGATACGATTTTGGCAAGTCCCAGGTATGTTTAGGTATCCGCAAACCAAAATTTCTGGATTGAAACTTGTTCTTGTTATTTCCCTCCCTTGCATTTATCTACATATTCCATTTGCTGACATTTGGTTATGCAGTCCAAATAAAATTCTACGGTCTCTTCCGGCACTTGATGCCAAAGAAATCATCGCCCTTACTGTCTTAATCGTGCGAAAGATTCCTGACAATCTGTACGAGGAACTTGTTACTCATGCTCAATGAACTTCCTCAATGATTAGAAGCGTTTTTCTTTCCGATTGTTGCCCTCATTTTTCGTTCTTCCAATCTCTGCTAGCAGTTTTTCGATTTCGCTCAAAGGCAGTTCTGTTGATATCTTATCGAATTATCCTTGGTCCCCATTCTTCGCCATCCGTACCACCCAATACGTCATCATTGCTCATTTGATCATTATCTCGATTTCTTTACTCCATATGTTTTCAGTATTTTGCACTGTTATTTTTCTCCCGGTTTCATATGAGTGCCGAGGAAATAGGAGCCTGCATGGCTCGATAAAGAGAAAAGTTGTTTTTTATTTTTTTTATTTTTTTATTGGATGAAGGAAAGATGGACATATCTGTATATTAGACTCTATTGCGTTGTTGATAATGATTACGAAAATGTGACGAGGAGTATGGGCTGTGTTAATTACCTGTCAATATCAATTTCTTTCCCCGAGTTCTAATCTTTGTCTACTTTGGTTGGTTAGCTCTGGGCACATATTCATGATAAGAAAATTGACAAAGTACAATATCCATTTAAACACAGGACGGAGAGGAATCACGAAGCGGAATGAACCCGGGGGGGCTGAACGGGGGAGTAAAGGAGAAGAAAATATTCGACCCTCTAAAGACATTCACCCTTCTGCTAAGCCTGTCTCCCGCTCCTCCCACGCACACCTTTCACACCGACAAGCACCTCCCAACGCCCCCATGGCCCATTCCCTCCTCTCCTTTAATCCCAAGCCCACATCACAGTAATGATTGAATATTTCCTCCCCACGTTTAATTCCCGCCCAATTTCCACTCCCCGGGCTCTTGCGCCCACCCCATTTGACCCTCTCGTCCTCTTTCCTAACTGTAAAATTAATCTCTCCACCCCACTCCCAGCGCACGTTAGGGTCACACGAATGATTCGCCAAACACCAGAGCGGGTGAACAGCACAAACCTCCGGCCCTCCATCCCAGGTCGATAGGCGACCGGACGCGGTGCCGCGGAATTTGGCGTAGAGGGTGTTTAGCACCCAGGTATCGTAGAATGGGAGGGTTTCGAAGGGATCCAGTCCCATTTCCTCTAGGATGCGAGTTGGTTGGAGGATTGACAGATGGAAGGAGAAAGGGAGGGTTGCGGAGGGGGGATGGGGGTTGTTCTTGCCGTTATTTAATGGTGATGGTGAGGTTTGAGGAAGCATGCTGTCGTCCGGAGCGTAAAAGTCGCCCCAAATATACTTCACCTCAGGCAAGTCCAGGGGATGTATTTTTTGTGTCTCAGCTATAGCAATTGCGCGGCCTAACAGCAACAGATAGAGGTAGTCAGCTTTGTCCTTGGGATCCTGAATGTCCTTCCCGATGGACTCAAGGCCCTCCTTCCCGCACTCGGCCGCATGATAGACTTCCTGGGAAAGATTGTGGCATTCCCGGCTGCAAAAGATGGTATCTTCGCAGTCATCGC